CCACTCTGGGGTTGGGCGCTCCAGGGACTCCCGGAAGCTCTGCACTCTCGAGATGCTTTGAGAGGTGGGATACGGGTGGCGGGCGAGGAGTAGAACGCCTGGTTCCTTACTGGCATGAATAGGGTTTAGGGTTTATGGTTCAGGGTTTAGGGTTCAGGGTTTAGGGCTTGAGCTTGAAAGTTTTCGAGCCCAAGAAGGCTGAACCCCCGGGGCCATGGGCCGCCTGACGAAAACGCTCGATCTCCGCGGTGAGCCAGAGGCCGGCCTACATTCAGAGCAGGCAAGGCACCCTACTCGCCCTAAACCCTAAACCCTAAACCCTAAACCCTAAACCCTAAACCCGGAACCCCTACTTGGAAGTCTTAATAAAAGCCCCTACAGCCCTGTCAACGCTGCAAGCCTAGAATTTCTGACATTGTGTCGACCTGCAACTCCCTACACACGGTTCAGGTTTTAGGGATTCGGGTTTGGTGTTTAGGGTTTTAGGGTTTTAGGGTTTTAGGGTTCTAGGGTTTTAGGGTTTAGTGTTTACAGTCTAGGCTTCAGGGCTTCGGTTGAGATGGAACCCTTTTTGGCCCCCCACCCCCCCCCACCCCCCCACCCCCCCCACCCCCCCCACCCCCCCCACCCCCCCCCACCCCCCCCCCACCCCCCCCACCCCCCCCCACCCCCCCCCCACCCCCCCCCCACCCCCCCCCCCACCCGCCCCCCCCGCCACCCCCCCCCCCCCCCCCACCCCCCACTTGTATTCAGACCCGGCGACAGAACAAACCCTGAGGAGGAAAGCGATCTTTGAGGTAGCAAGAAGCAACGGCATACCGGAACAATACTACCCTGATGCCCCTCAAGCTGGGGGGTGTTAGGTTGTCTGTGCTCCCAAACCAAGCGAGGTTTCTTCCATGCGCCATGTATTCTCAACATTAAACTTCAACCTTAAGCGGAAAACAACGAACCCGAAAACCCTGAGCCTGACTCCCCTTACCGCAACGAGTCTTTCATTCGGGGCCGGCTGTTCTTCTTCTTCTTGTTATACCCTAAACCCTAAACCCTAAACCCTAGACCCTAGACCCTAAACCCTAAACCCTACGGTGCCTATTTTATATTGCGGACATTTAAGTAAATAAAACAAATATTTTCTACTACCTCCGTGAGGGGTTGGGTGGGGCCGCCCCTTTTTTAAACACCCGGAAACCATCACCACTAAAATTACCCCCTTGGAAACGGGGTCGTCCACGACGTCGGCTGCCTGCTGTCGGTGAAGGTGTTGTTGTGGGTTGGGGTTTGGGCTTAGACTTTTGTAATGGCTTGGAGGCTTTCAGCCCTGGGACATTGTCCTAGGCTGTTTTCTGGCTTCTTCCCACGCCTGAAAGGCCCCAAGCCCCAGAAACCTAGGACATTGTCCTAGGGTGTTTTCCGGCTTCTTCCCACCCCTGAAAGGCCCCAAACCCACAGAAACCTAGGACATTGTCCTAGGGTGTTTTCTGGCTTCTTCCCACCCCTGAAATGCCCCAAGCCCCAGAAACCTAGGACATTGTCCTAGGGTGTCTTCTGGCTTCTTCCCACCCCTGCAAGGCCCCAAGCCCACAGAAACCTAGGACATTGTCCTAGGGCGTTTTCTGGCTTCTTCCCACCCCTGAAAAGCCCCAAGCCACAGAAACCTAGGACATTGTCCAAGGGTGTTTTCTGAAAGGCCCCAAGCCCACAGAAACCTAGGACATTGTCCTAGGGTGTTTTCTGCCCTCTTCCCACCCCTGAAAGAGCAACCTAGGACATTGTCCTAGGGTGTTTTCTGGCTTCTTCCCACCCCTGAAAGGCCCCAAGCCCCAGAAACCTAGGACATTGTCCTAGGGTGTTTTCTGGCTTCTTCCCACCCCTGAAAGGCCCCAAGCCCCAGAAACCCAGGACATTGTCCTAGGGTGTTCTCTGGCTTCTTCCCACCCCTGCAAGGCCCCAAGCCCACAGAAACCTAGGACATTGTCCCAGGGCGTTTTCTGGCTTCTTCCCACCCCTGAAAGGCCCCAAGCCACAGAAACCTAGGACATTGTCCTAGGGCGTTTTCTGGCCTCTTCCCACCCCTGAAAGGCCCCAAGCCACAGAAACCTAGGACATTGTCCTGGGTGTTTTCTGGTTTCTTCCCACCCCTGAAAGGCCCCAAGCCCCCAGAAACCTAGGACATTGTCCTAGGGTGTTTTCTGGCTTCTTCCCACCCCTGAAAGGCCCCAAGCCCCAGAAACCTAGGACATTGTCCTGGGTGTTTTCTGGCTTCTTCCCACCCCTGAAAGGCCCCAAGCCCCAGAAACCTAGGACATTGTCCTGGGGTGTTTTCTGGCTTCTTCCCACCCCTGAGAGGCCCCAAGCCCACAGAAACCTAGGACATTGTCCTAGGGTGTTTTCTGGCTTCTTCCCACCCCTGAAAGGCCCCAAGCCCCAGAAACCTAGGACATTGTCCTAGGGTGTTTTCTGGCTTCTTCCCACGCCTGAAAGGCCCCAAGCACCAGAAACCTAGTACATTGTCCTAGGGTGTTTTCTGGCTTCTTCCCACCCCTGAAAGGCCCCAAGCACCAGAAACCTAGGACATTGTCCTAGGGTGTTTTTTGGCTTCTTCCCACCCCTGAAAGGCCCCAAGCCCACAGAAACCTAGGACATTGTCCTAGGCTGTTTTCTGGCTTCTTCCCACGCCTGAAAGGCCCCAAGCCCCAGAAACCTAGGACATTGTCCTAGGGTGTTTTCCGGCTTCTTCCCACCCCTGAAAGGCCCCAAACCCACAGAAACCTAGGACATTGTCCTAGGGTGTTTTCTGGCTTCTTCCCACCCCTGAAATGCCCCAAGCCCCAGAAACCTAGGACATTGTCCTAGGGTGTCTTCTGGCTTCTTCCCACCCCTGCAAGGCCCCAAGCCCACAGAAACCTAGGACATTGTCCTAGGGCGTTTTCTGGCTTCTTCCCACCCCTGAAAAGCCCCAAGCCACAGAAACCTAGGACATTGTCCAAGGGTGTTTTCTGAAAGGCCCCAAGCCCACAGAAACCTAGGACATTGTCCTAGGGTGTTTTCTGCCCTCTTCCCACCCCTGAAAGAGCAACCTAGGACATTGTCCTAGGGTGTTTTCTGGCTTCTTCCCACCCCTGAAAGGCCCCAAGCCCCAGAAACCTAGGACATTGTCCTAGGGTGTTTTCTGGCTTCTTCCCACCCCTGAAAGGCCCCAAGCCCCAGAAACCTAGGACATTGTCCTGGGGGGTTTTCTGGCTTCTTCCCACCCCTGAAACGCCCCAAGGCCACAGAAACCTAGGACATTGTCCTAGGGCGTTTTCGCTTCTTCCCACCCCTGAGAGGCCCCAAGCCCACAGAAACCTAGGACATTGTCCTAGGGTGTTTTCTGGCTTCTTCCCACCCCTGAAAGGCCCCAAGCCCCAGAAACCTAGGACATTGTCCTAGGGTGTTTTCTGGCTTCTTCCCACGCCTGAAAGGCCCCAAGCACCAGAAACCTAGTACATTGTCCTAGGGTGTTTTCTGGCTTCTTCCCACCCCTGAAAGGCCCCAAGCACCAGAAACCTAGGACATTGTCCTATTGGCTTCTTCCCACCCCTGAAAGGCCCCAAGCCCACAGAAACCTAGGACATTGTCCTAGGGTGTTTTCTGGCTTCTTCCCACCCCTGAAAGGCCCCAAGCCCAGAAACCTAGGACATTGTCCTAGGGTGTTTTCTGGCTTCTTCCCACCCTGAAAGGCCCCAAGCCCACAGAAACCTAGGACATTGTCCTAGGGTTTTTCTGGCTTCTTCCCACCCCTGAAAGGCCCCACCCAGAAACCTAGGACATTGTCCTAGGGTGTTTTCTGGCTTCTTCCCACCCCTGAAAGGCCCCAAGCCCACAGAAACCTAGGACATTGTCCTAGGGTGTTTTCTGGCTTCTTCCCACCCCTGAAAGGCCCCAAGCCCACAGAAACCTAGGACTTTCTGGCTTCCCACGGCCCTGAAAAGCCTGCAAAAGCCCAGCAACCCCAAAGGCCCCCCGAGAGCCCCTCGAGTATTTTTCTATCCAAACCACTGAAAAGCACCAAAACCAATTCCAGGCGTCGGCGAGTTGCCCCAAGTGCCAGGGCAAAGCAAGGGCACTTAGATTATACATTTAAACACACGGAAATTAAATAGATATTTTATACTACCTCTGTGGCTTGTGGCCTGGGCCCGCCCTCCACATGTTTGAAAACAGTCACCGTAAACCCTTTAAACCCTAAACCCTAAACCCTAACAGGATTGACATCCCCACCTCCGGCTTCCAAGCCCTTGAAAGCTCCCAAGCTGCTAACTCCTTTTAGCCGCGCGCCTGGCGATCGCCACCTTGGAGGGTTGAGGGTTTAATTAGGGTTTAGGGTTTAGGGTAATTAATTGCTAAGGGGCAAGTTCCTACCAGTAGGAAGATAAAGCTGAAGTTGATACACCACAACTTGCAGGGAATTCTGCGCCGCCATGCCATGTGTGCTGGCGGTTCGCAGCGGCATGGAGAGTGCTTTTAAGTTTGCTTTAAGAAGACTTGGCCAGAACTTGCGATTGCTGCTGGGGACTGCTTCGGCTAGCACTCCGAGAGGTTGTCACTTTGGAGCTCGAAGTACTTCGATGCCATTTTCGCTCACGTCGCAGTGACACTGCGTGCACATCTGCGACTGGAAAAGATGGCAACTTCTTGCACACACCTGCCGCTCGCCCTTTTGCGGCGGCTGAAGTCGTGCAGCATGAGTGCAGGCCTCGCCAGGCGTGCGTCTGCACAGAGAAAAAACCGCTTGCAGTCAAATTGTCATGACAGTGAGGACCGCTAGACAGGCCATCTGCTGAGGTCACCCAGCCCCCTTAGGCTGCGCGACACGCCTGTACATTCAAGCGGAATCGGCATGAGCACTACAATACAAGAAGATGGCACAAGCAACGCGGCGACATGCCTGTACACGTGCCGTGTGCACGATGCACGCGTGGAGCGCCATGAGAAGGAAGGAGGCTCTTGCGGCTTGCTTAGACCTCGGAGGATGACTGGCTCGGGGTGATGGTGCTGGGGGTGTCCTTGCCGTTCTCCAGCTTGTCATCCTTGCTTTCGACAAAGGCAGAAGCCCAAAGCATGTGAACTCGAACCATGGGGCTCTCTCCACGGTAGAGCCGCAGGGGAGCGAGCAGGACCTGAATCGAGGCCCACAAGACCAAGCCGGCGATGATGCCGTAGCCGATGCTGAAAGTGAAGGGCATGGTGATCATGGCCACGAAGGCCGGCACGGACTCCTCTACTATCTGCTTAAGAACCCCAAAAGAATAAAAAAGACCTAATCCCTATATTACCCTTATAAGGAAGAATGTGTTTTTGCTTATTTTTCGGAGGGTTCTGAAGCATTTTTAATAGTCCTCCAAGTCGTCCCAGTCCACGCCCCGCACGGAGCTGCACATCATGGCGCCCAGGAGGCAGAGGATGGGCCCGGAGGCCAGCGGAGGGACCTCGGCTCAGAATCGGTTTAGGGTTTAGGGTTTAGGGTTTGGGGTTTAGGGTTTAGGGTGTATAAGGTTTAGGGTTTAGGGTTTCGTTCAAGGTGTCCTCGTCACACGACTCGACGAGCTCACCTATCTAGAATATGGACCTCGCAACACCCGAAACCCTAAACCCTAAACCCTAAGGTCGGAAACGCACCCAAGGAGTCGGGGTCAAATCTGCAAAGCCCCGGCACAGCGGAGACCACCGGGGAGAAGGGAATGGCCAGCAGGAAGCAGGTGCCCGTCACCTCACTGTTGGTTAGTAGGGAATGAGGGAACCAATATCCCTCTACTATATACCCTGTAATAGAACAGGGTACCCATCCCCATATAAGTATACCTTTCAAGGGATTCCCTATATCACCCTATTAAATATACCTTTCAGGGATTATAACTATAATGGGGTACCTCATTCCATCATCCCCTACTTGGAGGTCCATGGTACTTAGTAAAACATAACTGTACTTATAACTGTACTTCTAACCATATTTGGGCACTTAAAAGGGGCCTATAAGTGGTTTGTAAGTACAGTTATACTTAGTTACTAAGTACCATGAACCTCCAAGTACTAACCAACAGTAGGTCACCAGCGAGGCCAGGCCGGTCTTGGCGCCATCTGCGACCCCGGCCGTAGACTCCGCAAAGGTGGCGACCGTTGAGACGCCGAGCACTGAGCCCACCTTCGGGGGGGTTAGGGTTTAGGATTTAGGGTTTAGGGTTTAGGCTTTAGGCTTTAGGGTTTAAGGTTTAGGGTTTAGGGTTTATGGTTTAGGGTTTGGGTGGAGGCTTAGTGTATGCCTAGTTGTCCAGTACCAAGGGATCTTTAAAGGTTAACCTTTGGGATTAGAAGGGGATTATATATTCCCCCAATAAAGCTAGAGGTTACCTACTCTACAACTAAGGATGTGCACTCTTTGACCCTATCTTTCCAGGCACCTAATTATGGGGCCCTTGCTCTATCCCAACTATTAGGTCCCTGGCAGTATAGGATACTTGAAAGACCAGCAATGTTCTAAACTCTCCTCTAAAGAGTCCATGTACCTATACAGTACATACTTGGGCCCTGAGGCTACCATATGGGAACCCCTTTGAGGGCAATTATATACCATATAGGTACATGGACCCTTAGGGTCTAAGCTCCCAGCCAGCATGGCCAGCGCATCCGCCAGGTAGGCCATGTTCTGACGGGCCAGGGGAAGGTTGCCGTGGCTGTCTGTGAGCCCTGCGACCTTCGCCACCGCGAAGAATGTGCCGGAGGAGTCGAGGAGGTCGGTGTAGCCTTAGACCGGGACGTCTGGAAGGAAGCTCGGCAAAACAACCGGCGACTGTAACAGTTAGAAGGAACCGCACTCCGTGCTGCTTGCATCTCCAGGCAACAGAACGTCGCCACGGCGGTCCAAAACGTGGCACTGGTGTCCGGATGGAAAGCCTTCTTTTTTCGGCAAGTCTGCACTCTGTATACACCATGTGGCCTTCAAAAGTTACCACAAAGCCGAGGCGTTCACGAACGGAGAAGCCCTCCAACAACACTCCTCCTCGAACTCCCTCCACACATGTACAAGATGAACACAGGTGCTCGCATCCTCATTATCCTCATGATAGGAACTCCCCTGGACCCTGAACCCTGAACCCCTAACCTTAAACCCTAAACCCCTAATTCAGCAGCACCCCTCCCTTCAACATGACCCCCTCAGGCTCAAGATAGCCCCAAAACCTTGCATGAGAAGGCCTTTTGGCCCGAAAACCCTTAAAAATAAGAGGCCTTCGAGCCTCAGGGTTTAGGGTTTAGGGTTTAGGGTGTAGGGTTTAGGGTTGCAACTGCCAAGGGGCCCACTCAAAGCCTTCCCAAAGCGCACCGGCGAGGCCCTCCAGAGAAGGCTTGGCGACCTCGTTGCCGGCATCGACGGTTTAGGTTTAGGGCCGTTTAGGGTTTAGAGTGCTTTTGTGGCCTGTTTCTAGGTCTCAGGGGTTGTAGGGTTTAGGGTTTAGGGCCGTTTAGGGTTTAGAGCGCTTTGTTGGGGTCAGGCTTCGGGTTTATACCTGGGACACTTTTTGTTACCTACAGTTTTATAGGCTATGCCTGCAAACTAAGGGGTCCCACGCAGGGTTTTCGGGTTTGGGGCCTAAGTAAGGCTCGAAACCGTTGTACATGTGAAGTCTTGCAGGATTCGAGCGTCTGCTAAAGGCAGGCTCTGATCTACGGATGATCTATATAGGGGGATCGATATAGGGGCAGGCTGGGAAACCTGTGCAGTTCGAGAAGGAGGGGAGAAGACGGGGAAGATCAGTGAAGACCCCTGGTTGGTTGTTCTACGTTTCTCTTGCAGCAGCGGGGCAATGCCGGTGGGCACGAAGATGTGGAAGTCATCAGCGGACCGGTCGCCTCCGGTACCGAAGGGGTAGCCGAAGACGGATCCTTCCACGCCGTGCGCCCAGCCCTCGATCCAGCACACCACGGTTCCAAAGACGATGCCGACCAAGGGGGCCCCAGGAACCTTGGCAGCCATGAGGGTGGCTGTGACTATGAGCACCAGGAGGCTCATCCACATCTTCGCCGAGTCGTAGGAGGCTGAGCTCAAGGAGCCCAGCTTCACCAGCGTGGCGGGATCTGCGACGGAGATGCCCATGCCCTCGGAACCCTGGAAGGCGATGAAGGTCAGGAAGAGCCCGACGCCTGCCCCGATGATTTCCTTGATGCCTGTGGGGAAGAGCCGGATGAGCAGTGTCCGCATGCCCGTGACGCTGAGCAGGGTGAAGAGGCAGCCCGCCACAAAGACGGCCGCGAAGGCGGCTTGCCATGGGAGTCCACGGCCCAAGACGATGCTGAAGGTGAAGTAGGCATTGGTGCCCATGCCTGGCGCAAGCATGAAGGGGAAGTTGGACAGGAGGCCCATGAACCAACAGCCAAAGAAGGCAGAGAGGGCCGTGGCACACACAAGCTGCTCCTTCATGTCAGGCACGGCCAGGCTCAGCATGCCGCTGTTGACCGGAAGGATGTAGGCCATGGCCAAGAAAGTCGTCAAGCCTGCACGGATCTCGGTGGCGTAGCTGGAGCCCAGCTTGTGCACGTTGAAGGGGTCCGACAGGTTCAGGTGGCTGAAGTTGCCCTTGAGGCCCAAAATCTCCAGCATCGAGGCTGTCCGGGAGTCCCGGGTCTGCTTCTCCGCCGCCCCAACCTGAGACATGCCGCCCATCGCGCCGAGGACCGGAGGAGGATGCGGAGATGGTCTACCAAGCAAGCAAGCTGTATAGTGGCAAAGGCTGAGCCGGCGTAGAGGTTTGCTAGTCTGCTTTAGACGGATCGCACCCAAAACGCCCCAAGGTAGACTCGTTTTAGGGGAAGGAGACCTAACTTTACCAAGCTCCCGATGTACAATGTACAAACCAATATGGCAGTACATTTGAGCCTTGGGGTAGAGAGCTAAGATCTTCCCCTTGCAGCCCTCCTGACAGATTAATACACTCTCCAGGCTACTTGAAGGTTCATGGGTACTTTTGTAGGTTCATAAGCACCCAAAAAAAGTTATAACCAGAGTCACCCTACAATTTAACCTCCAAGTAGTCAGCCCGTGGGGGCTTCGGGCTCTGTGGCGTACTGCAGCCAAGCTGTATGGTGAGTTCTGAAAATTCTGGTTGCTTCTTGGGTACCCAACTTGAGGGTAGCCTTATAACAGTAACCCGCAAAGGGACCCTAATATAAACTTAGAGAAGTGACCCTATGACGGCCGACGATCTGATAACTTGAGCTACTGCAGCATCTGCCAGAACGAAGAATCCAAGAGCCTAACAGTTGTTGAACGCATTGCCACCTCATGTTCCTATGTAGCACCTCTTCTCGGTTGGGATGCTATACCCCCGCACCCGAGAGGCAGCCCCAGCAGGAACTTAAACCCTGTCCCTAGTCCCTATAAACCCTAAACCCTATAAACCCTATAAACCCTATAAACCCTATAAACCCCCCTGTAAACCCTATAAACCCTGTAAACCCTATAAACCCTATAAACCCTATAAACCCTATAAACCCTATGAATCCTATAAACCCTATAAACCCTATAAACCCTATAAACCCTATAAACCCTATAAACCCTATAAACCCTATAAACCCTATAAACCCTACACCCTGTAAACCCTATAAACCCTAAACCCTATGAACCCTACAACCTAAACCCTATAAACCCTAAACCCTATACCCTAAACCCCAAACCCTAAACCCAACATGAGAGCCTTCATTTCAAAACCCGATTCAGGAACGTCCAAGAAGCGCAGTGAGTCGGAGATGTGGGTAGAAGCAGATTGCGGCCGAAACTCCAGCTGCCTACAGGGGTTTAGGGTTTAGGGTTTAGGGTTTAGGGTTTAGGTTTTTAGGGTTTAGGGCTTGCAGGCTTAGGTGTTAAGGTTTACCTTACGAACCCCAAGCCGACTTCTCAGTATCAAGGTTGCAAAAACCCTTCGCTACGGATTTGGGTTTTTTGAAAGGCTTTGGGGTTGGTTTCGGATTTAGGGTTTGGGTTTGGGGCTGAGGGTAGGTTCTGGGTTTTGGGTTTTGGGTTTTGGGTTTTTGGTTTTGGGTTTTGGGTCTTGGTTTTGGGTTTTGGGCTTACGGCTTAGGGTTGCAAATGGTAAAACAAAATCCTACTTCTCTACTTTTTGCTTAAGAGCCCCAGAAGAATGAAGAACAATCCCTTTAGCCTATACTACCCTTGTAAGGAGGAAGATATCTTGTGCTTTTTCTTAGGGGGGGTGCTTCCCAAGCAAACTTGGAGGTTCATTGGTACGTATTACCCCAAATATAAGTCTATTATAACCTACTTAGACGAGGGGACGTAGGGGACTTATAAGTGCAGTTATAGTTGGGGTTATAACTACCCTAGACTTAGACCTCCAAGTATACTACCGTTTCAAGGAAGAACATATGAGATAGTAAATTCCTTCAAAGGCTGACGCAGCAAGGAAGAACATTTCTTGTACTTTGTACTTTTCTCGGCGGGGGGGGGGGGGGGGGGGGGGGGGGGGTAGTTCCTAAGCAACCAGTTTCTGGTGGGCGTCCATATAGGGCAGAGCTCGGACAGAGGCGGCTCTGGGGGGCTAAGTTGCCCAAGAAGAATAGAGGCTGAACACACCCACCTTGGAGGTTCAGGGTCCCTTAGCACCCCCAATTATAACTGTACTCATAGGATTGAAACGCTGAACCAGCGATTGAATCTCAGATATTAAGTATTAAGTAAACGCGTTAGTGACACGAACAAGTGAGCGTAATAAAGGCTATACTGCTAAGGGAACGATAGAGAGAACGCCAGAAGAATGAAGAATAGCAGTCCCTGTATTACCCTTATCAAGAAGAATCGTTCTTGTGGTTTTTGGGCGGGGGTTCCCAAGCAAAGCGTAGTTCGGAGGGCGGCTCGCAAGTAGCCTCACCTGTTGTGGTGGGTTTCAGTACAGAAGTCGGACAGAGGCGGCACAAGGCAGAGGAGAGCGGGGAGGACAGCTCTCCCAGGTCTGCAAGGAAGCATAGGGTCCAGGACTTCAGGGTGGAGGCTTTAGGGTATTTTTCGGGAGATCAGACCAGGGCCACCTAAACGGAGATCTCTAAACCCCTGAGAACTAAAACCCGGTTCTACACCCTGAGACCCTAATCAACCCCAAGGACCCCGAAGCCCTACAGGCCTAAACCCCAGGACTCGAACGCGCTGAGCCCTATCAGGCCCCCAATGCCCTAAACCCTAAACCCTAAACCCTAAACCCTAAACCCTAAACCCTAAACCCTAGTTCTGGCCCGAGGAACGCCCCGAAGAGCTTCTCGTCGTCGCGCTCGACGCACTCAGTGAGGCGGCGCGGTGGCAAGCCTGAAACGCACAGACCAGCGGCATTTGGGCCCCAAGAGCCTGCTTCTGGGGATGAAGGGCTTAGAGCTTTCCAGAGTAACCCCTGTGAACCCTAGTTCTCCCCCTAAATCCTGAACCCTAAGCGAGTTAAAGGTCTTGGGGTCGACGGCTTCGGCTTATTCGGAAATGGAGGTTCCTTTGCGTGTTCTAGAGCTGGCTATGAGCTTCATGTAGACCCTAAACCCAAAAACCCGCTAGACCCTGCAGGGCTTTGGGGGGGGTGTAGGGTTCAGGGTTTTGGGGTTTTGGGTTCAAGGTTTAGGGGTTACCCCAAGATTGTCAACCCGGCTTGGGTTTAGGGCTAAGAGAATCCGAAGCCCTAAGCCCGGAGCTCTCCCCTCCTCCGCCGCTCGTGGTGGGCCGTTTTGGCCGAGCCGAGAGCGGCCGCATGGGATCCGGCAACGACATGGCAAGGGGTGCTCAAGCTCTTGGGGCCCCTCGAGGTACTTGCAGGTTTAGGGGACAGGGGGCTTCTCTAAGTACTTACGGATATAATTGGGGTTACAAGTACCCTGAACCTCCAAGTATAAGTCCGGCGGAAGGGTTCTAATGTAAAAGGCTTCAGCGTTTTGAGGGCTTTGATGGTGGAGGGCAGGTGTCAGGTGCGTCTCAGAGGTCTGGCGTGTCAGGATTTCGAGGCTCATGGTCCGGTGTGGACTCAACCGTAAATTCTGTGATTTTTAGGGCTTGCGGGTCAACGCTAAACCCTGAACCCTAAACCCACAATACTTGCAGGGCTGAGGGGTCCCCAAAGCATGGCCTGCTTGGGCCAGCAGCTGCAGAATAGGGGATCCCAGAATGCAGTGGGTACCCAGAGAGCCCAATCCCCCCTAAACCCCAAACCCTAAACTTTCTAAACCCCAAACCCCAAACCCGAAACCCTCACTTAGGGTCCCGAAGTTGCTTTGAAGTACATTCCTTAATGAAGGGGGCAATGCTCTGCAAGATTCCTCCTCACCTCTTAGGATCTTGGGACATTGCGATCTTAAGCTTTCGGGCCTTATAAGCCTTGTAGGCCCGAAAAATCTCTGAAACCCCGCGCCGTCGCTGCGGGGGCGCGAATCCAGGTCTGTCGGCGAACTCCAGGCAACCCTTGAGCAGGAAGATGTTGCATACCTGGGGGCTCAGATTGAAACTTCGAAGCCCTCTGTCGGGCATAGGGCTTATAGGGGTTGAGGGGTGCTTAAGGGGGTTCGGTGCTTAGGGCTTAGGGGTTTTCGGGGCTTCGGGCTTACGGGGCTTAGGGGTTAGGGTTCTGGGTTTAGGGCTCCGGAAAGGGGGGCCTGTGATCTCAAGGCTTACCGAGAAGCGGGGTTTATGTGGAGCTGTCTAAATCACTAAGGGCCCCTTCTTTTCGTAGCTTTTGGAGGACCCGTACTAGAACCTCTTATGCGCCGGAGCCCCCGAAAACGTAATGGGTGGAATTGTTCGAAACTGGCCCGCACATCCGAAACCCAAATTCGAAAACTCAAAGCGCTAAAAAAACATTTTTTTTTTTTTTTGGGGGGGGGGGGTATTCTGAGCTATGAGGAACCTACTTTCTGAGGGCAAATGACGGGAAGCAGAATGTACGCTTCAGCCTTCCCTCCCTCAAGTTCTTCCCCCTGGTTCTTAGTAGGGAATGAGGGAATTCGGGCCCTAGGTATATCCTGTTAAGGGATTATGTAGGGCCCTCATTCCCTCATTCCTAGTAAGAACCAGCCCGTCATTGTGGATTCAGGGCTTCGGGTTGTTATTATAAAAGGAGACCTATCTCCCAGAAGAAGCAAGAAGAGCACCCCTCAGGGTCCTAATTCGTGTGGGCGTTGAAGAGGGCCCCTGAACCATAAACCCTACACCCCAAACTTTAAAACCTGATCCCTACCTCGGCTCCATTTGCCTACTATTTTGGGGGGGGGGGGGGTTACGCCCCCATACTTAGGTGGTTTTAGCATACGATTCTGTAGAGTCTGGGAGTCACCGTATACACCCTACACTTGGATTGTTCAAAGCCCAGGAGAAAGCCCATCCCCAGGCTTCGAAAGCGAGTCAGGACCCGACCCTGGCCGTCCGAGATCCGAAAGCCAGGCTAGCAGCACAGAGCACTGTATCTCGGAGCAATTCCAGCGAGGCACAAGGCCGAGCCAGCAAACCGAAACAACATCAAGCTCTAGCTTGGCCCCTTAAATTGTTGCAGGTGATCTCCTAAACCTAAGCTTTGAATTCTCGCAGCGCACTGAACGCGCCCGCACGACGGAAGTCCGAGCAAGCCCTGAAGAACCTAACTGCCTCTCCAACTCTGAGAAGTTGGAAGACCACCCCTT